AAGGCGGCCCAGGAAAAAGGGCAGCCTGCCAAGCCCCGATGGAAACCGCGGGAGCAGGACCCATTTTTGCCAGTTCTGGAGAAGGTGCTTCTCTACGGCCACTTCTTCCTGTCCCTGTTCTTTTTTGCTATTATTTCTATCAAATGGAGCAGCTAGAGACCAGCTCCGTGTAGTGCTCGTTCAGTTGGTCTCTGTTGTATTGCTTCTAACTTCTCAACCATACTTTTATTTTCCTGCTTGATTCGTAGAGCTACAGTTGTTTCAGTTGCCTAAATAAAATAAAATTAAAACCTAAACCCACAGGGCATGAGGTCTGCGTGCTTAGTGCTTTGTACTCTAGTTCAGTAAAACTACGTATGTTCTTAAAGTATTCTGTGGGCTGGCAAAGTACTTGAATAGAAGAGTTGTGGAATTGGGGGATAAAACCTTCATTGTTCATGTCAAGAATTCTTACCACAAACACGACCATCAGAAACAGGAATTAAGGCCTCTCTCTTATGGAGGCATTTCCATTCTGGGGAAAACTGTTTTAACAATTCCACCTCAGGTAAGCAAGTGAAACAATGCAAGTGTTAAGCATTTGTACTATTGTTTCTGTGAGATCCATATTATTCAGAAACCCAGGACTGAGAGAATAGGATCACCAGGTGATACTTGGGATGTCTAAACAAACAACTTAAAAAAAAAATTATTATCTGAACACATCTACGCTCCTTTTGAAATTGGCTGCACCTAAACCATCCCAACCAACCTAGAAAACAGCCCCAGACTCTGCCTGTAGAAATGAGACTGATCTCCCACAGCATTGCAGCTCACTACTAAACACACTCCAGCATCTCAAAAGGCTTTACACGTTATACTTACAAGCAACTATTGCCTGCAATGGCAGAAAAGCTCCGTTCCCTGCACCATGGGTTTACGCAGATGAACAAACAGTTTTTTCTGCATTACAGAAGATAACAATGGACTCAGTTTTACCAACAGGTCTAGCTGGGATCTTGGTCCCTGTGACAAAAACAAGCTCACAGGTAGAAAAGACAAAATCGAGAAAAACTGGGCTGTTTCCAAGTTACTGTATTGTTCCATGTGTCTCAAAATCTTGCAACCTGACATCTAAGATCTAAACCACAGACAGGAGGGAAAGCACTTTATTGAAAAGATCATAGAGTCTGACAGTCGTTCGACAAACTGCTTCCAGACTAGCTTACAGATCGGCAATCGGTTTGTGGGGCCAGTACGGATATTTCTCCTTGTCCAGTTTGGTTTCAGGGAAGACTTCCGCCAAGTCTTCAAATGTCATCTGTTCAAAGGGAATCATGCTTCGGAGCTTCTGAAGCTTGAAGTGGGAGCAGAGACAAACACATTACATGTCACTTGTTGGCAAGAAAGAGCAAAGCACACACAAGTAAGAACAAGGTGTGTGCCAGGCTGAGTTAAAGTCGTCAAGCAGAGTCTAGACTTACCTGTTGCTCATACTGGGCAATGCGAGCTTTGGAAGCCTGCACGTATTCAGCAGAGCTCTTTGCCTGCAGGGAAGCAGAGGATGTGGTGAATACGGTTATGATAACGACAGCGACCTAGAGTGAACCTGCAGCCCCACACTTTAAGTTGGCATTAAAATTCATCACCGTTACACTAGGTAAGCGGACAGAAACTTGATCAAATCCCAAACAGCCAAACCCTTCCATGTGCAGAGATCCTCTTGCTCAGGCAAAAGCCAGAGATGTGTGAAGAGCAGAGCCATGCTCTGGCTCAGGCTGGCCCAAGGTGCACGTACAGAACAGCCCTTCCCATCCTCACAGAGGTCAGAGACAACCCTGGCATTTAGGAACAGTTTAAACACTTACAGATTCCTGCTCTTGGGCATCAATTTTTGCAGTTTGTGTATCCACTGGCTCAGGAACCTTCAGTGCACTGAACTGCAAATTGAAAGAATTTTATTTATGAGGTTTGTTTGACTGAAACAATCCTTCACACCAAGGTCATAGAATGACATAATCACAGACTATTAGGAGTTGGAAGGGACCTCGAAAGATCACCCAGTCCAACTCCTGTCAGAGCAGGATCACCTAAACTAGGTCACACAAGAATGCATCCAGGTGGGTTTTGAATGTCTCCAGAGAAGGAGACCCCACAACCTCTCTGGGCAGCCTGGGCCAGGGCTCTGTCACCCTTACAGTGAAAAAGTTTTTCCTCATGTTCAGGTTGAACCTCCTGTGCTCCAGCTTGCTCCCATTGCCCCTTGTCCTGTCATTGGACATCAGAGAGAAGAGCCTGGCTCCTTCCTCCTGACACTCGCCCTTTACAAATATATAAACATTAATGAGGTCACCCCTCAGTCTCCTCTTCTCCAAGCTAAAGAGACCCAGCTCCCTCAGCCGCTCCTCATAAGGGAGATGCTCCACTCCCTCATCATCTTTGTGGCTCTGCACTGGACTCTTTCAAGCAATTCCCTGTCCTTCGTGAACTGAGGGGCCCAGAACTGAACACAATATTCCAAATGCAGTCTCACCAGGGCAGAGTAGAGCTACAACCGCCCCCTTCTGATACACCCCAGGATGTCATCGGCTTTCTTGGCCGCAAGGGCACATTGCTGG